GCTGCACACATATTTTGAGAATCCCTTCCTATTCGCAGCAACGATGATTGATACCGACACTAATTCTCCGGTAACTAATATAGCATGTGGTAATGTGATGTCACCAAGTAACATGAATTCTTTGGGAACTCTCTTATCTTGATCTTTTTTTAATTTATAAAATTTGAATGCTTGACTTTATTTAACACTAATGTACAACAAATTAGTGTTAACTAATAAACAAAGCCATTTGACCAATTAAAGTTAATATGAGTAGTAAACGCTATTGTTACTTAAGCTAGTAGTTGGGAGCTCGAAGTCTAATCCATGTATGTGTAACAATTTAGTTAAAAGATGTCAATATATTGTTATCAATACATAGGAGGAGATATTCTTTGTTGTCAACGGAACTTACTCTTTATGCCTACCAAAAAATTAAACTAAGCCATTTGACACAAACATTATTAATTAAGCCATTTGACACAAACATTATTAATTCTGTTTGAATTACACGGACTGTTGATCTTTTTCAACGATGTCAGCGAGGATAAGGAAAAATAGAAGTCAGATGAAGATCAAGTTGAGATTGAACAGCGAAGCTTAGATAAGGTCTATAATTATTGAAACCTACTTATGTGCTAGCATTAGTTTCTTATAAGGTACTAGTTGACAAAATAAAATCAGACCTAAAGTTATTTGTCAACTTGGATAAGACAAAATAAAGTCAAACATCAAGTTGGGATTGTACAGTGTAGCTTAGAAGTAGAGCCACTAATTCAGATCAAACACAATGGGACCAGCCTGAAAAAAGCTATGGCTTAGCTTGATTATATAAGCTTTTTTAAAAATGTATGATACTTTAAATCGATCCAAATAATTTTAACCCAAATTGAGCATTGCCCGAATAAGCCTGGCTATATGAATTACCAGCCTTATATGTATATATAGTTAGTAATTTTGGCCATGTCCAATAGGTCAGTCGAATCCATCCAAAAAAGTTAGGGCTAAGGCTAGCTATATGGTTTTTCTTTTTTTTAAGAATATGATACTTTAAGCTTAATCTGAATAAGTTTGGCCTGTCCAAATTACTGACCCTACTTAGAGGTCTATAATTAATTGAACCTACTCCTAACTCACAGCCACATATAGGCCTTCCTGGCTCCTTTTTGCGAGGAACTGTATGTATGTGTGTGTACATAGTACGTACGCATAGTTCTATATTATCAACCATCTCATTTCCTTTCTTAGCAAGCAACTCATCAAATATGGCTTTCAAGTTGACCTTTCTTCTTCTTGCCTTCTTCGCTCTTTGTATTAATTTTGAGACATAATTTGTAAATCTGAGACATACTTTGTAGTGATTTTCTTATTCTATATTTATTTGTAATTTTTGAAGTATTTTCTGTAATTTATGAATCAACTAACAGAAGAATAACATTATTGCACTCTTAAGGTGACCGCCCGTGCCCCTCAAAAACAGTTTAGAAGTAAACATGTACCATTACCCTAAAATTATTATTATTATAATATGTCATACCATTCTACATAGTTTCTTGAAAGAACGGGGTGGGTGGGGGCATAATTTTTTTTTTTTTTTGGATGACACAGATCAGGAGCAAGATGGGAGGAATATCCCAAGGCAGTAAATTAAACTGAAATTAGGAAAGTTGAATCTTTTCGATTTGACTTCCCCCTTTAATATTAATTAAAATATAAATAATCAAAAGTAATCTAACTGGCTAAAAATGCGTCCTTCTTTTTCCCCCCTAGAGGAAGTCAATTCTCTCAAAATCAAGATTCACTTTCGCCAAATTGTCTGCGTTCCCCCCCACAAGGCACTTTTTTTTGGGGGGGGTGTGTGTGTGTGTGTGTGTGTTTATCCTAACGCACTCAGTACTTAACATTCCATTGAGAATCGTTTCAATTCATCATACTACGTACATTCAGAAAAGTGTCTTGCTAGAAATACCACACTTCAAATGATGAATGATACGATTGCATTGTAATATTTAAGGATAAATTCTTGTATGAAATTGGTACATCACATCATCTATATTTTGTTAATAAAAACATGTAATGTTTAATAATTATAAATATAAATTAATTATGACATGATGTTGATAAAGAGAGAATATAAGAGATTAAAGATGTACTATATTCCAAAAAATAAAATCAATAAAAATAATGACACATTAAATTTTATTTAATTAAATTGATGCAACATGACATATTTTTATTAGATAGAGTATGAATGACGTGGTGTAGTAGTTGAAAAGTAGGGTAATCGTCATTGATCATTTTATTTAATGGCTAGGAACAGTGACAAAGCTAGGACCCATGGTCGGGGGACAATTTTTAAAAAAAATTAATAATTTTATAAATAATTCAATAATTAAAAAATCAATTATATATACTTATTATATTACTAGAATTTAAGTTTTAAAAATAAAAAAATTGGATTTTAAGACTAGAGGAAAAATATATGGATTTAATATTCATAATATTAAAAAGATGGAGTGCAAAATATAAAAAGGACGGGGGAGAAAATTTAAAATTTCATATCCACTAGGTGTAATTTTTTCAAGTGAGGGGAGATGCGTTCACTCTCACTTGTATGTGGCTCTGCCGTTGGCTGGGAAGATAGATCTGTATAAAAAAGACTTCTCATCTAGACGGTGAGAATTGTCCACTTCCTTATTACTATGCTATTTTTACTGCATGGGATCCGAGTTACGCAAGAAATTCTCATATTTGAGTTTGACCAGTTTTTCAACCAAGCTTACAAGTTGTGCACTTTGAATTCATTCATACATATCCTTTAACAGATCACATTAAATGCCCATTCATGCATATTTATTTTGGTTCTGCCACTTGTAAGCCGATAATCTGGATATTCAGACACAGTATTGATGAAACTCGGTACGTACATGATTGATTGTCGAGATAGACTTTAATTTAGGGATCGACTAAAATATATTGAATTTTTTTATTAACGTAATTATATAGATTTAAATTTTTATTCGAAATAACTGAAGGAAGATTTTACCTTTTTCTCAACAATTGATATATTTTTATTATTTCATTGTCAAAATTGTTAAAAATATTTATAATGAAACATGGTACATTCTTTTATATAAACACAAGTTAACAAAAACTTATTCAGTTCATTTTGTAAAATTACTTTCTGATAAATATAAATTCAAATCCAAATTGTAATATCATTTTTTAGCATAAAAAGAAGCTTGGGAAGGTTGAAAAACATAAAAACTTATGGGAAGTTTTGTTTAATTTTAAAAAATATTATAGTTTACCATTTATCCATTTTACAAAATTCTAAATCCTAATTTCTAAGAAACTATACTTTAATACTTTATTTAATAATTCAACAAAGTTCTCTCTTCTTCTTTTCCTAAACATTACAATAGCAATATTTCTTTGCAAGAATAGGTAGCTAGTTGAAATTTAATATTCATGATTTATAAAGTTATTATTAAACTTTAATTAAATCTCATGCTAACTTTTTATTTTTTCATTATCATCAAAACATATTCTATAAAATATGTAAGAAATTTATTATTCGTGCAATACACTTTTTTTTGTTTTTCATATACTATTCTCAATATGCATGAAGCCACTTATATATATATATATATATATATAGAAGTAACAGACTAATTCAGACTTGAGCGTTATATACTTTCGTCCCTTCCTCTCTTAGACTAGGGACTATCTATAATATTGGGTACAGATTGTTGGATTACTTTTTTTTTTAATGATAACAAACTCTTTAGAAATTAAAGGTTGTTCTGCAGCATGACAAATTGAAAGATTATATGACAAATCAATCAACCTAGAGAGAGTCGAGAAAAAGACTTAGAACAAAAGGATTTTATCCCCCCCCCCCGGGGGAATCTCTTGTAAAAAGTAATTGAAAGTTTCTTTTCAAAAAGAAAATAGTTCTGAAATGTTCTTAGAAGGATAAAACTCCAACACAAATGTTTTACACATGTTTTAGAAAACATAAAATCTTTTTCCTTGCATTAACTTCCAATTAACACGATATCCAACTAACACGTTATCCACTTTGAAAGTAACTTAGTTTTTGCTTTGAGTTCATAGTTAGTGTGCTAGGTCCTTCACTTAGCATGCTATTCAGAAATTATAAATATAGCATCATTTAAGTTGGTTGGTAATGAATTAAGTGCTTACAACTATTTTACATTCAGTTTTATTGAATCATGCATTGAAAAGCTCTTAAACACTGTTTCAGGACTCCATAATAATATCTTCTCTTTGAGAGAGATTTACTGTTCTTCATTGTTTCTGTTGGTTTTTGACATATAGCTAGCCCGCCCTTGGTGGATCAATGTTGTTGGCCCAAGTCCACATTGTATATTGGGAGGTCAAATTAACAAGGAAAAAACATGAGGGTCCTTAATTGTAATATACCCAAAATTTATTTTAAGTAAATATGGCATGCACGTTGCCTTTATCTTCATGCGTATGTAGAAGTTATTTGACAAGTGTTTGTAAACGATATCTCTTGTGAGGGGAGATTCAAGAAATGGACTAAGAAACCTTCTGTGCTCTCTTCTCTCTTCCACTCTCCTACATTTACTGTGAACCGAGAATCGGATTCGAGTAACTCCTTTCGTCCACATAGAGATATCACCCGGTACAACTCACAGGTTTGTTTTTCCATAAACTTAATAGTTTCTATCCACTCTTTGATAGAGTATATATCAGAAATACCTTTTTCATACATTAGTCAACTAAGCCATTGGATACAAACATTATTAATTCTGTTTGACTTTGACGGGCAGTTTATCTTTTCAACAATGTCAGCAAGGATAAGAAAAAAATCGAAGTCAGATGAAGATCAAGTTGAGATTGAACAACGTATAGCTTAGGTAAGGTCTATAATTAATGAAACCTACTTCCTAACTCCCAACTACATGTAGGTCCGTACTGTATGTATATATAGAGTACGTACGCATAGTTCTATTATCATCCATCTCATATCATTTCTTTGCAAGCAATTCATCAAATATGGCTTCCAAGTTGGCCTTTCTTCTTCTTGGTCTCTTTGCTCTTTCACTCCTTATCTGCTCGCTTGTAACAGCTAGGGACTTACCTCATCAGTCTTCCTCTAATCATGGTGAGTGCAAAGCCGTTTTGAGTTTCGATTCTCTACACTTGAAAATTGTTGCCTATTCTACTTTAGGAAACAGTTTTCAAATGTTACTAAATACTTGCTGCCTAAAGTGGGGGATAAATATCAAACATATGAAAATTGTTGTTTATGCTTGCATTAGGCAACATTTTTACAACTGTTGTAAAGAAAATATTTGCCTAAACTAAAAATTGTTACAGTGCCTTTTCAAACAGCTCCTACATACTTCTGAGATTCGTTAATTTGCAACCCTCAAAACAAAAGTTTGCAACTGAGATTTGTTAATTTACAAATTGAAAAACTTGTCAAAACTTGAAAATCGTTTTCTATTACAAATTAACGAATCTTGAAAATTCTTGTTTAAGGATTGCAAACAAGGATAATACGGTAGCAACTAACTAGAAATGGTATTATGTTTGAGAAGTTTTACCTTTACAAATTTGCAAGTTTCACTCACAAATTCTTGTTTTGATGGTGGCAAAATCTTTGATCATTATTTTAATTTTCCCATCCTTTTGGTTCTCATTTAAATTTTATTTAATATTTTAGTCTTTTAATGTCATCCATCCTTTTTCTTATTCTATACTACACACACACACACACACTGTTACAACAGACTAGCTTTGGGGGATCTATATCAATCTTCACTGCATCGCAATAAAAAACATACTAAACATTATATGTAAAAGGAACATTTATCATGCGTAAGTTTTTTTTCCCCTTATTTGCCCAAATTTGGTGCTAGTTTTATTAAAGAAATAGAATAATGTTGGGATGATATTTTTATCCAAAAGTTTTACTATCATGAAAAAACTGCTATATTATCACTAACCATTCTAGCGTTTCTTCATTTTACTTATTTGAAGCTGAAGTAGTGGAGACAAAAAATCATGGAGAGGTGGATGATGCCAAATATGGTTATGGAGGTTACCCAGGTCGTGGTGGCTATGGTGGTGGTTATCCTGGCCATGGTGGCTATGGCGGTGGCTATCCAGGCCGTGGTGGATATGGAGGTGGTTACCCGGGCCGTGGTGGTTATGGAGGCGGATATCGAGGAGGATATTGCCGCTATGGATGCTGTGGTGGAAGGTATGGAGGAGGCTGTAGAAGATGCTGTTCTTATGCTGGTGAAGCTGTGGATGCACAGCCAAAGACTGAAGCTCATAACTAAGACAAACCTCACCTACGTATTAGAACTATAATATGTACTGCTTTTGGTTTTGCAAATAAAGTGTGAATCACGTCAAAGTGTAATGTGTGTCATCTGCGTTAAGTATTTCTAATATTTGTATAATAAAATACCTCAGAGATTGCTATAAGCAATCAAAAATGGAAGATGCCAAAGTTATTATGAAGTTTTCCTCCCGTCGCTATGTATCATTTTCTCACCATGAGTGAGAGCTGAATATTTATATTAACTATAATGATGTCTTATTAGGTATTGCATTATCTATGGTAATATTTGTGGTTAAGAATGGTAGTACCATTGTGGGAGAAATGGCCACTATACGAAACTATGATATTTATCATATTATCAATATTTTTCATAATTAATTATGATTACACGTTTTATTTTTTAAGTTAAGATAAAAAATAATTTTAATTTATTAAACTATATTTATATTTCATGTTATTATATTTCACTTGCATTTGTTTTCTTGAAATTGGAAAATCAAATAAACATACAATCTTGGCTGCCGCTAGCGACACTATTGAAACCTAGTATTAATTTGAGGTTTAATTGACTAGGCTTATCTCATTCAACAATGCAATTCAATCCAAAGTTCTTATAACTCATGTTCTCTACAAAGGATTGAGATCATCAATTAAGGTCGACAACATCAAAGTAACCTAAAAATGCTTCTAATCTACACATGTAAATTAAAAACTTCCATTTTCCACTACCTTAGTCTAAATTAACCAATATTAACATTTAATTTGTCCAATATAATATTTACCTTTAAAAAAATCACCAAACACTAATGTTCTAAAAGCTACAATTTTGAGATGTACCTAATCAATCTATCGTTTCCTCAATTGGCACTTAATATAATAATATACTAAACATAAATCATGCCTCAACTCATATTTTAATCAGAAGAAATTAGCTAGGCGTGAGTTCATTTGCATAAACCCTTCCCAAACACTCTTAGAGTGGAAAATCTATGACCTAATGGCATAAAAGCCTATATAGCACATACCTTAGAGGCTTGGAAAATCAAATTCATTTCCCAAGGTTTCAAACCATATCATGTCCTAGCAGAGGAAAGTCAAGGTAGCTAGTTTGAATGAGTTAAAGTTAAAAAATTTCTGTTTAGAATCGTATTTATAAGTGTTAATTCGACTATGTCTATTGGTAATTGTGCCCGTATAAATATTATCTATGAGCAGCTATGAAGCACCGATATTTCAAATTGTCTCACGTATCTGTATTGATGTCGTATGCGATGTTGATGCTCATATCCGTAATGTAGTAAAATAATTTTTTAATTTAAAAAATTAATTTTCAATATGTATCGCATATTGTACTCTTTTTATTACTTAAGGGGTAACATTGTCTTGCCTTTGACTTTAAGATAAACCACCTGCATGGTAAAAAAAGTTTAGAAATAAAAGTATACCATAATAATAATAATAATAATAATAATAATAATAATAATAATGTTGTTGTTGTTGTTGTTGTTATATTATCATATCATTATGCATAGTTTTTTAAAGAGAAAATTACATTCAGGTCTCACAAAAGAAAGTTTATTACTGAGAGGTTCCATAAATTTTACAAAATACTCCCAAGTCTCAAATCCTATGCATTGACAACTTGATTAAGGGTATTGACAACTGATCAACGGCCTTTTACAACTTGCTATTATAAGTTATTATTTTTTTTTATAAGTTGTAAATGGTATTTACTCAGTTGTTAATGCCCTTAGTTAAGGTGTTAACACACAGGATTTAGAACTTGAGAGTATTTTGTGAAATTTATTGAACCTCTCAATAATAAACTTCCTTTTTTGTAGAACTTGAATGCTATTTTTGCTTTGTAAAAATAATGGGGTGGGTGGGGGTAGAATTTTTTTGGGGTCACGGATCAGGAGAAAAACGGAAGGAGTATAGCTCAACGCAGTTAATTAAAGTAAAATTTGGAAAGTTAAGTCTTTTGGATTTGACTTCCCACTTAATAATAATTAAAATATAAAATATCAAAAGTAATCTAATTGGCTAAAAACGTCTCCTTGATTTATTATTTTTTTTTTCTAGAGGAAGTCACGATCCTCTCAGGAACCAATATTCATTTCTATTGTCAAATTGTTCCACCCACCATATGGCATTTTTTGGTAAAAAGGAAAAAAAAATTGGAGAATTATATCTAAGGAGCTGACAAAAAACTTATTTACAGATAAGGACTAATAACAAATTTCATTTGAAAAAATAAATTCATATTCTTATTTTAACAATATTTCATTATGTATTAGTCTTTGTCTATGAATAATTTTTTTATCATATCTTTGGATATGATTTTCCAAAAAAAATTATCCTAATGCAGTCAGTAACAATTCATTAAGAATTGTTTCAATTCATCATGCTACAATTAGAAAAGTGTCTAGCTAGAAATATCACACTTCAAATGATGATTGTATTGAGACCATTGCCATGTAATATTTGAGGACAAATTCTTGTCTACACTCAATGCACCACATCATCTATATTTTATTATCCAATAAAAACATGCCATGCATCACATTATAAATATAAATTGATTCTGGCGTTGATAATGATAGGGAAAGAATATAAAAAATCAAGAAAGCACTAGATCTAATCCAAAAACAAAATCAATATAAATAATGACATATTACATTTTATTTAATTAATTGGTGCAACATAACATGTTTTCATTATATAAAATATGGATGACGTCGTGCAACAGCCGGGTCAATGCAAGAATTTAACATATCTGAGCTTGACAATTAGTTTTGTCAACCAAACTTGCAAGTGGTTCATATTGAATTCATTCATACATATCTTAACAGACATTAAATGCCCCCATTCAAACATATTTATTTTGGTTCTGCCACATGCAAACCAATAAACTGCATATTCAGAAACAGTCTTGATGAAACTCGGTACGTACATGATTGGTTGGCGAGCTAGACTTAACTCAGGGATTGACTAAAATATACTAAATTTTTTTTTCTTAACGTAATTATATTAGATTTAAATAACTGAACGAAGATTTTACCCTTTTTCTTAACAGCTGAAATATTTTTATTATCTCATTTTCAAAATTGTTAAAATATTTATAATGAAACAATGTTACATTCTTTTATAAATACAAGTTAACTAAATTTTTTTAGTTCATTCAGTAAAATTACCATCTGATTAATTTCAATTCAAATCCAAATAATTTTCAATTTCGAAACTTCAAATATTTATTTCTTCTCTACCTTTACCTGAATTTTACTACGTACTTAGCGTACTATCTATGCACTGGATAACACGTTAACCACGATTTCGACACACATTTAGTTTTTTACTTCGGCAATAACGTGTTTTTTTCCCTCACTAAATGACTCGTGTGTTCTAAAATTTCTGACTGCTATAATCTCACTTCTAATAGCTAAACTTTTTCAGAAATTATAAATATAACATCATTTAAGATGGTTAGTAATGAATTGAGTGCTCACAACTACTCCCTCTGTTTTTATTTATAAGAAAAACTAAAAATTATATTTTTTCAATAGGCATTTACTACAAATGTCTTCAATTATTGCTCATAATTTCACTATTCGCAGTCATAAGAAATAATAATGAAAGGTATTTAGTCTAATTTTTTTATGTTCAAATACAATTAATATAGTCAACTGATTTTTAAAAAAATTGTGTATGTGATACAGTTTTTTTTTCTATAAATAGAAATGGAGGGAGTACTTTACATTCATTTTTATTGAATCATGCATTGAAAAGCTCTTAAATACTGTTTTAGAACTTCACAGTAACATCTTCTCTAAGAGAGATTTACTCTAGGTCTTCATTGTTTCTATTGATCGCCCTTTGAGAGAGTATATACCAAAAAGTACCTTTTTTATAAATTAGTCAACTAAGTCATTTGATACAAACATTATTAATTCTGTTTGAATTTCACGGACTGTTGATATTTTCAACAATGTCAGCTAGGATAAGAAAAAATAGAAGTCAGATGAAGATCAAGTTGAGATTGAACAGCGTAGCTTAGATAAGGTCCATAATTATTGAAACCTACTTATCTGTTGGCATTAATGTTCTTATGAGCTACTCCAAGTTGACAAAATAAAGTCAGACATCAAGTTATTTGTCAACTTGGATAAGACAAAATAACTTGGATAAGACAAAATAAAGTCAGACATCAAGTTGGAATCGTATAATGTAGCTTATGTTGGATATTATAAAATATTCATGGGTATTTTAAAAGGAATTGTTATATTTTAATAATATTGATTTCTATAGCCCCTACTTAAATCTTATTTTCATCAACTTGGAGTTATAGCTTTGAAGGATTTTAATCACCTTTTATTTAATTTAATGACATTTAAAGGTTTTAATACTTATTTAAAAAACTTCTTTAATGTTTAAAACTACCCAAGTTATGAGGCTTAATTTGTTTTAATTATTTTAAAATTGATGTTTGATGGTTTATTAAGGGGACCTTCTGGCTATGACTATGTATAGCTTAAGGAGTGCGGTGTACCTAGGGCCAAGTTCTAAGGTTCTCAAGCTCCTCCTATGTATTGTATTGTTTGAGTATATTTTGTTAGTCTTTGTTGTTTTGTGGCCCTGCTTAATTTGCAGGATGAGTCTGTTTAATCCTAGAGAGCTGTCGCGCGAACAATTTAGTGTGGCAGAATAGCTCTTGAAGATAGTATTATTGGCACGACTTAGACTTTAAATCTACTTGCCGGTTCCAACAATCTCCAACAGCTTAGATGTCTGTAATTAATGGAACCTACTTCCTAACTCCCAACCATGCAAGGTCCTTTGTGTGAGGGACTGAGAGCATATGCATACAGAGTACGTCGGCAAACTTCTATTATCAACCATCTTATGTCCTTTCTTTGCAAACAAAACTCATCAAATATGGCTTCCAAGTTGGCCTTTCTTCTTGTTGCTCTCTTTGCTCTTTCACTCATTATTTGCTCGGTTGTAACAGCTAGGGACTTGCCTAATCAGTCTTCCTCTAATCATGGTGAGTGCGAGCCCTATTGAGTTTTGATTCCCTACACTTGAAAACTGTTGTATGTTATGTTTTAATTTCGGTAACAGTTTTCAAATGTTGTTAAATATTTATTGCCTAAAGTAGTGATCAATAGCAACATATGAAAACTGTTGCTTAATTATGCCCGTATTAGGCAACACTTTTAAAACAGTTGCAAAGAAAACAATTGCCCTAACTAAATTATTATAGTACTTATCGAAACAGGTCCTATACTTTTGAGATTTGTTAATCTGCAATCCTCAAAATAAAGTTTTGCAAGCAAGATTCGTTAATTTGCAAAAAAAAAAATTTTGTTAAATTTATCATTACTTGGAAATCATTTTCGTTATAATTAAATTGACAAATTTGGTAAATTCGTGTCCAAATTCGTGTTTTAAGGATTGCAAGCAAGGATAAAATAGTAGCAAATTACTAGATATGTTGTTATATATGTTTGAGAAGTTTTTCCTTTACATATTATCAAATTTTACTTGCAAATTCTTGTTTAGATGGTTGCAAATCTTTGGTTCTTAATTTAAATTTCTGAATCTTCTGCTTGATATTTGAATTTGATTTAATATTTTAGTCTTTTAATGTCATTCGCCCTTTTTCTTATTTTATACTATATACATACACACTGTTACAACAGCAGAGCTTTGAGGGATCTCAATCAATCTTCACTGCATCGCATTAAAAAACCTACTAAAAATTATATATCTCTTGTAAAAAGGAACGTTGATCAAGTTGTGTATAGTTTTATTTCCCCCTTTTTTGCCCGAATTTGGTGCAGTTTTTATTGAAGAAATAAAAGTAATGTTGGGATTATATTTTTATCAAGTTTTAGTCACATAGAAATTATGGATAATTTCTTTAAAAATTTTAACATGTTTTACTATCATGAATGAACTTTTATATTATCACTAACCATTCTACCGTATCTTCATTTTGTTTATTTGAAGTTGAGGTAATGGAGACAAAATATCATGGAGAGGTGGATGATGCCAAATATGGTTACGAACGTTACCCGGGTCGTGGTGGCTATGGCGGTAGTTATCTTGGCCGTGGTGGATACGGCTGTGGTTACCCAAGCCATGGTGGCTATGGTGGTGGATATCGAGGAGGATATTGCCGCTATGGATGTCGTGGAGGAAGGTATGGAGGAGGCTGTAGAAGATGTTGTTCTTATGCTGGTGAAGCTATGAGTGCACAACCCACGACTGAAGCTCATAACTAAGACACCTTACCTGCGTATTAGAATTATATGTGCTACTTTTGTTGTTCTAGTAAATTGTGTTTTTATCTTGGATTAAGTGTTATTTTTGTGTTTAAACTTTACTTTTAGAGTTTGCAAGTACTCTGAACTTGATTTGAGGTTATTTTTGTCCCTGAATGTTCGAAATGCACTGCCCATTATCCCGCTTTTAAGGCGCCATGTCCGTTTCTAGTGGAGTGAGTCTCACCATTTTTTATTATTTTTTAATAATAAAATATTGGATTAAGAATTACTTTTGCCCTTGAACTTTTTTCTTAAAGTTTTATAGGTACCCTAAACTCAAGAACAAAAGTGACTCTTAACCCAATACTTTATTATTAAAAACATATAAAAAATGTTGCGACCTACTCTACTGGAAACAAACGTTATGGTATCTTAATTGTGGGATGATAAGGTAGCACATTTCACACATTCAAGGACAGAAATGACATAATGCCAAGTTTAGGATACCTGCACATCTTAAGGGAAAAGTTCAAAGATAAAAGTAACCTTTAACTTTTCTATATTTGTTGTTGGGAGCATTTATTAGGTGTGTGCTTTGTTTTCACTCTCTTCTCTAGGAATGGAGTTTCATGCTGCATATTAAAGTGCAGCGTGTATGTCATCTATGTTAAGTATTTGTGATATTTGTATAATAAAGTATCTGAGAGATTGCTTTTAGCAATCAAAGTGGAAGATGCCATATTTTTGGGGGGAGGGTGGTTCCTCCTTTACTTAACTAAAATGTTGTCTTATTGATGATGAGAAAATTAGCTCAATGGCCTCAAAAAATATAACTCCCGTAAATTATGGATGATGTTTTTAAATATTTTAAAATATGGCCCATTCATAAAATCAATTAAATATGTTTTCTTTTTTTATCCTCAGAATATATTTATTATTAAAACAGAATATATTTGATTTAACTAATCTTTAACTGATTGAATTTTTTATTTTTATTATCAAAAATCATATTGTGCGTACTCCCTCTCTAATTTATCATCTCTGAATATTTTCTTTATCAAATTTTTGGATTTAATTTTCTTGGATCATCATTGTTATCTCTTGTATAGTGCATTTCTTCATCAAAATTTTTAATCTAATTTGCCTAGATCATCATCTTTATCGCAGAGCTTCTTCTCTTTCTCCCTCTCTATTTTTCTCAGATATTATGAAGAGAACATTTAACATTGAAAAAAAACTCCATTACCGATTTGCGATACTATATCATTAATATATGATTGTATATCAATGATAAATAAATTGATAAATTTTCACTGATATGGCTTATATATGAGTGATATATAATAATATATTACTGATATACTATTGTAGATCAACATAATCAGACAATCATACATAAACTTGTTTAAAATTGATGTACAGTCTTATATCAATGCTGTAATATTGCAGATCAGTAATATGAAAAATACATAATCATTTTTCTGAAACAGATCAAACAAAATCTCAGGAAACCTTCGCTTGAACTCTGGCTCTTGTAACAAAGTTTGACTAAACTTTCTCACCTTGAAGCTTTAGTGTGGCTTTGTGTAGAAACTGCAATTTTGAACTTCCTAACCTCACATTCATGATTTTTCAACCTGAATTTGTAGCTTCCAGTCTGCCTCACCTCACGTTCTTGTGATCTCCTGGCTGAATTTCTAACTCCTTTTATCCATCAATTGAGCTGTTTCATTGTCTACTATTGGTTTCTTCACTGTCGTGACTGAGAGTGCAGTGTCATCTCCACATCTTCGGGTGAGTGAAAGCGAAACCAGTGTGAAAAGGGAGAATCAGGGTATTGTGATGTTTAAGGATAGTTTTATCTGTTATATCAAAGGTAAATTAGAAAACGACCATTATCTTAATTTAAAAAAAGGTGAGTTATTAGTTTTATTTAATCATATAATGTTGGCTAAATTTGCTAAAGCCCCATTGATGATTGCATTTTCTTTTATATATCCTTATATAGTAATATTATGAAAAATATTCTTAAGAGCTTGTTGGAAGTTGTTAAACAAAATATCTTAGTATACAATATTATATTCTTAAAATTTGGTTGATAATTGATTAATATGATTGATTTTAATTATAATTACTTATGTTATAATGTAATCTATTTGGATATTAAAATTAATTTTAGCTGTACAAATTATCATAAAGGACATTACTTTTTAAAATTAAGTTATTAATAAAGTTGTATTTAATATTGTTAAATTTTTAAATTTTATTTAAAAAGTAAATAATATTATTTAATAGTAAAATTGAATCTATAAGCAACCTCCAATAGCTTATTTTAAAATGTGATTCTGGCTCAATAATCAATTTTTAGATAAATTTTCTGTTTGGATAATTTTTGTCAAAATTGATTATTTTGGCTCAAATAATTGATTATTATGCTATCCAAACAGGCTGAATAATGTCATGCAATTCATAGAGCTAACCCTATCTAATGAGGTAAGACTTGTTGTTGTTGTTATTGTATATAGGCTATAGTATTAATGTTTTGTAATGTAATCATATAAAAAATAGCCATTATTGAAAAATATATAATATTTATCTTATTATAAATATTTTTAATTATTATGGGTGCATTTTTATTTATTTAACATTATAAAAATAATTTAAATTGAAATTATAAATCGATTTTTATATTTCATGCCCATAACAAAGAGTGGTATTGGAATTTTGATATTTTTTAGGTTTCTTTTAGATATTTTTAGGAGCTTTTTCTATAGTTCAGGTTTTGACAAAGAACGGCAAGGAGTCAATTATGAATCACACAAATTCCAATCAAGCCATTTTCGTCTTATATACGGAGGTGGCTAGAAATACAAGGAATTAGATCGAATCAAGGTGTGGCTTTAGGTCATTAAGAAGGAAGCTTTAGGCTTCAAAACCTTCCTTATAATTTAAGTAATCATTATTGATTTTTTTGTTATTCATCCCACTATTAAAAAATAGAAGATTTACAACGGAAATTTTGCGGCAGAATAAATTACATTGCAAAGGTGTCACAAATCTGTCTAATAATTTGTCCAAATAATTGCAACAGCATTTGACATAGAATAATTTGAAACAAGCATATTCATGACACAATGTGTTCTAATAGTGTCAATATATTAGTTTTAATTACAATTTTTCATTAAAACTATTACCCATACCAGTGTTAACATTTACATGCTATCCCAATATTTAAGATAAAGGAAACGGGGAACACTTTGCAACGACAATTATCCTCTCTCTATGGGATCAATTTGGCTTCCTATCAAAATTATTTAATTACAAAATCTTAATGTTTGATTTTTTCTTAAAAAAAATGGAAAAAAGATATGAGGATGGATATTTATAAAAAAAAAAAGGGAAAGAAAATTGTACACATTAGGTTTCACTAATAATTTTCCTTTAGACCTGAAATCTTCATCCGGCAGCCTTCCTGAATGATATTGAGTTAGGACGGCTTGGGGTATTAAATAAAATTTTATTTTTATTTTTATAATAAATTAGATTTTTTTCCTGTGCAATTAGGATGCAATGTTCATTATGTTCATGATGATGATGAATTATAGTGTTTATATAAAATTATTTAGATTCAAGGATTTAACTATTTTTATATATAAGTAGTATACATGTTATATACTTCAATACTATATTAGTTGTGCAGTATCAATGTTAAAATGAGATACATCAATTTGTTTCACACAGAACTAATGTTTCTTATCTTATTAATTAAGCTTACTTCAAATTTATTTTTCTTGATGATTTAATATATTTTTATTCAAAAGGTAATGACATGCTTTGGCCCTTGTATATGGGTATTTTAAATGAAAAATTGTTAATTGTTCTTGGATATCTTTGGGAATAATATTTAACAAAAAAATTTATTCTGAAAAAAATTGAAGCAAAATCCCATAAATAATTTTTCGATTTTTATTTTCTGTAATTATGCAACAATAATTAAAAATGGACTTCATTTAACCGAGGAAGAAAAAGAAAATTTTGGCCTTGATATTCGTTTTTGGTCATACAAACCTTTATTTTAGAGGCTACGAAAGAGGGATAAAAGTTTAACGCGCTCTATGTTAATATTTAATAGATTGGGGAAGGGTAGAGCCAGTAATTTGGCCCAATTTAATGCGCCAACCTAAAGAAATCCACAAAATCAAAAAATTGGGGTTGGTTTAAAAAGTTTCTCTTAATTACGGTTTATTCGGGCCGCGAATTCTTTTTTTTATTATTATTAATAAATTAAAATTAAAATTAAATGAAAAATTGAGAATCTTAATTTTTAAAGATAAAAATTGAAATTGATTAGAAAAATAATATGATATGAGTCTTTTTTTTTAAATGTTTTGGTACTTTAATGGACTTCAGTCAAATTTAATTGGACGGGGAAGAAATCCCTTATTAAAAAAAGTTCATGAGTATTGATACATCATTATTGATTTAAGGATAGCTGCTGGTAGCTGATGATGAAAAATTTTGTGAGTATATTTTTACACATTAACCCATAAATAAATAAATATTGCTTCATGTTAAAAAAATGAGCATGTATGAAAAAAAAAAAACATAGCATCTATTGAGACAAAAATGATAGAAAATCATTTACGATGATTTAGACATATACAAAGAAGACTAAGAGAGGCAATGTGAGGAGAGTGGAATGTAACACCCTAACTTTACTAACTAAAAGCTTAATCAAATACCATGATAGCAAAAATATTTAAAACAATAAAAATAATTACCATAGTATAAAAGTTAAAAACCAAATCTCAATTTTATTTTATTTTTGTTTTATTCTTCTACAAGGTAACCATGTTAGAAAAAGTTAATCCAAATTTCAAAGAGCTACCATTGTTATAGAAAGATTCAACTAATACATACAAGTTTCAGGTTAATATTTTTTTTCATAAAATATATATATACTTGTGAACATCATGCTCAAAAATCTATCTCTATAAAAGTCTCAATGCAAAAGTATTATTATAAAATATTTACTCCATATAAATAAATCATCGATAAATAATAAACAAAGTAACAAATCAATCCCAAATGAAAGTCCTAAACTAGCAATTGATTATTTTATAAACTGAAACGGGACTCAAGGCTTACTCAAGCTAAGTCTTAAGCTTTCAGATGCTTTCCCTTTTTGCTCTGCTAAACGTACCTAAAAATGTTAAAGAAGGGGTGAAAAATAACATTTTAGTAACCTAAAATTTAATCATACATACACAAACTACAACCACACAATTATACAACAATTATACAAGTGTTCATGAGAATTATTCAATAATGACATAAGAATTTCATAAGATATAGCTTATAACATGCTAATATGCAATACCAATAATCTTTATTATTACTCCATCCATCCTTATTCTACTGACTAGAACCATAGGCTTAAAGACAATCCATCTAGAGCTCAAGATGTT